TGGGAATTCAAGATGAGATTTGGGTGGGGACACAGCCAAACCCTATCAGGTAGGCATTATTATTATTGTTCCTGTTTTACAAATAAATTAATGGGATACAGAAAATTGTTTGCTCAGCCTCACAGCACTGTGTCTCAATGCCACAGTGCTGGGATTTGGATATAAGCAGTCTATCTCTACTATACCATATTGCCATCCTAAAGCAGTTAATGTATAGTTAAGTATAAGTACAAAATCTATTCTCTGGATGCTCTAGGAGGGACACTGAAAGTAAAATGATTATCAGTAGTTCTTCTGGTGATTCATCCTGAAGCAGCAGGTGAGGTGGCATCCTCATCTGGTTCCCTATTGTTCAGAATATATTCAAAAGAGCCATATTTTACCCACAATATGCTTGAATCTTCAGCAAGCATATTGTGGGTAAAATATGGCTCTTTTGAATATATTCAAAGACAGAAAATACTTTTCACCACCACAACTCACAATGCAACATGAAGGGATGGTAGTATCTTGGTTCCTAGAAGCTCCTACAATAGCAAACATATCCTCCCACTCATGTGACCTTCCCTGAGCTCACCTTACCTCAATATCATGTCCTAAGACTCTAGATCATGAATATGGAGCATAAAGAATAACCTGTCTCATGAAAATAGAATACAAAACCCTTTAGGATTTGAGCCAATTAGAGTGTTGAAAGGAGACCATTATGGGAGCTGGTTGTAGAAGCAACCAATATTCTGTTCACCAGCCCAAGACTTAGCTTCCAGGTTGGGTTTCCTCATTGTTCTACTAACTTTAAGAACAAAAAATAGCAAAAGAATATAGGAAACAGTCACATAGCTCAGTTATTTAACTCTGACATTTTGCTTCTACTATAAATGATTCTTCTATTACAAAGATCTAGTTGAAATTTTAATTTTGCCCTTGTTCCTGCCCTCTTATTCTCTCAGCAACAACTACTTTAGTGTCTGGATTTGTTCTAGATGCAGGAATTAGAAGGAGTCTTACTTAATGCTGGTATAAACCAGGATGGCAGGGAGTCAGGAAGCAGAGGCAACACAGACCAAACAAAGCTGCACTAGCCCCTTGGTGTTCAAAAGTGAGTATTTTATGATACCAGAATTAGAGAGTGGGAAAATGGGTAAAGATAAATAAAGAATCCAGCTGGGCATGATGGCTCACACCTGTAATCCCAGCACTTTGGGAGGCCAAGGCAAGCAGATCACGAGGTCAGGAGTTGAAGACCAGCTGACCAACATGGTAAAACCCAATCTCTGCTAAAAATACAAAAAATTAGCAGGGCATGGTGGTGCACACCTGTAATCCCAGCTACTCTGGAGGCTGAGGCAGGAGAATTACTTGAACCTGGGAGGCGGAGGTTGCAGTGAGCCGAGAGCGTGCCACTGCACTCCAGCCTGGGTGACAGAGCAAGACTCTGTCTCAAAAAAATAAAAAACAAAACCTAATATAAAAAATAAAAAAGATAAATGAAGAAACTGACATTTTCTAAGGATTTGTACATTTTCTAACAATCATACAATTGCTGCATCGGTAGTCTGCATATATTATCATCTTCTTTAGAAATACATATGGCCAGCATTTTCTGAGATTTTTGCATTGAGTTGAGAGAATTACCTCATCTAATTACCTGCATTACCTCATTTAATTGCTGCAACAACTCTTAGGGATGGGTGCTATTTTATCACTTTTATCAAGAGATGAGGAGAATGAGGTCCATTAATTCATCCATTCAATAAATATCTGAGTGCTTTCTATGTGCAATAGGCACTGCAGATGTATCAGTGAACATAACAGAAAGAAATAACTTGTCCAAGATAACACAACCAGAAAATAAATGTTGAACTTTGAAAGCCTGCTTATTCCTATGCCTCTTTTATTTATTTTGATTATTATCCTATTCCTTTTATTCTTGAGCACTGGAAGGATAGATTTTAATGAAAATGAAATAAGTTAATACCCCATTCCAGAATCCCATCTCCTCCAAGGAGTAACATTGGTTAGATAAAGGGAAGCAATGGTCCCGGGGAGTTACCACGAAGGGAGAGTCTCCATGGCAAGTTCAACAGTTTCCACTCTCCTCAAACAAACAAACAAACAAACAAACACACACACACAGAGAGAGAGAGAGAGAAAGAGAGAGAGAGAGAGAGAGCACGAGAAAGAGAGAAAGAGAATACACAACTATATGGTGATGCCAATTCAGTCGCATGCAGGGTGACAGTGAGTTCTGGTTTGCTTAGCACAGTCATAGTTAACACTTGTTATAGTCCAACTAATGCCTACTAATTATTTTTAGAGCTTCATTTACTTTTTAAAATATCACAGCTTGGATGTACATTGTATTGCCATCCCACTCACACGGTTGCATTGAAGTACCAAACTTACCCTTTCCTTGATATTAGGACCATAACGCTCCCTGGTTCATCCTAGTTAACTCCATCATTAAAGGAAAAATCTCTGTTTCATCCTCCCTAGGCTGAAAAGGGTCATGACGAAGGGAGTTAGAGGGGTATAGAGCTACTGGGGGTTCAGGGTTTAACAAATAAAAGATGACTAAAACCAAAACTGGGAAAGTAAGAAGAGGGAGGGGAGGCAAAAAGGCAAAAACAAAAACAAACCTCTCTTTACCCTATTCAGCGACTCAGTAAAAAAATATCTTCAGGCATACGACTCTTTATACTCAGCCCCCACTCCTTCCTTCACCCAGATGAATCCTAGGAGTGAAATCCAGCTTTAAGGGTGAGAGTTGTTTTCCCCCAGGCTAGAAGAGATTTAATGTCTTTAATAGCTAAATTGAGCCTCTGAATAGTTCCTGTGGGTACCAGCTGTGACCAGGCTTAAACCACTGCACCATCCTCTAGGAACCTCCTGTGGTAATTTGTGGGGAGATGTTGCTATCTATTATTAAGGATGTTGGTGCTGATGGAGTCGTTACCTGTACACACTCACATACAGTCATTTATCTGTGGTATATTAAGAATTTTGTCCTTAAGAACCCAATCAAGTTCCCTGACGCCTTAAGATTGATAGATTTGCCCTCCCTGTCCACATCTTCCCTTTTACTCCCAGACTGCTCCAGAAAACTGCAAGCCTTAGGAGATATGAGCTTCTTTTCCCTCTTCCTAACTCCCTTCACTCTCTCTTCTTCAGGCTTTTGGATATCTCCACCTCCCTTGCAACCCCTCCCTACTGTGTGCCCTCTTCCCCCTCCCTTTTTTCCTCTTCTTTACTGCACATGTTCCTCGATTTGATTTACTTCCGCACATTGTGTGGCTGTGCAACGGTTGGTCCTTAGAGAGCCCTCAAAGGGAGCACTCCATCTGTCAGCCTTTCACCATCCCCCCTGGCCCCCAGCCATCACCCCCTCCCTTTCCTCTTCCCTGTGGGCAGTTTCTAAGAGAACTGTGGAAGATTTAGGTAAACTTCTATTTCCCCATTTCAGTGCACTTCAGACCTAGCTGGAGTCCTCTATTTTCCCTGCTCTTCCCCACGCTCACTCAACTTGATTCCTGCTATCCCCTCAAGGAAAGCCTTTGAAGTCACTGGAGTCAGTGAGAGCAGTACTGTCCAGTGAAGTTGCTCTCCTACTGGGATGCCTGAGGCTACATAATTAAGACTTACTGATGCAACAGTACATTGGGTCATTACTAAAGTCAGGATCAGGCACACTGATGGTAGGAGCAGTGATACAGAAAACGCCAATCACCTGTAAACCCAAAATTATATCCCATTTAACACATATCTATTTGTTCAAATTCTGTGAGGTGCTGGGGATGCAAAAGTGAATAAAATAGGAAATGATCCTGGAATTCCAGAGTTCTGTAGTCCAGTGGAAACTATTCACACATGTGAATAACTTTAATAGAGGAAAAAGTATGATGAGTATAAAACATGCTCTAGAATTCTAAGAAAAGATGTCTCATGGTTCAGAGAATGGTTCCAGTAGGAGGTGAAATTTGATCTGTGCTTTGAGATGGATCCAGCTTTGTACTGTATTCCCATTAATTCAGCACTATATATGGTTTGGATATATACATGAATTTTTCTATAAAGCTTCACAGTAACCTACTTTAGGTACCATGTATAAGTAAACTTACAGGAGTTTAACTTAAGAAGATTTTTTTTTTTGAGACGGAGTTTCACTGTTGTTACCCAGGCTGGAGTGCAATGGCACAATCTCGGCTCACTGCAACCTCTGCCTTCTGGGTTCAAGCAATTCTCCTGCCTCAGCCTCCTGAGTAGCTGGGATTACAGGCGTGCACCACCACGCCCAGCTAATTTTTGTATTTTTAGTAGAGACGGGGTTTCACCTTGTTGACCAGGATGGTCTGGATCTCTTGACCTCATGATCCACCCGCCTCGGCCTCCCAAAGTGCTGGGATTACAGGCTTGAGCCACCGCGCCCAGCCTAGGAATATAAATCATTCTATCATAAAGACACATGCACACGTGTGTTTATTGCAGCACTATTCACAATAGCAAAGACATGGATTCAACCCAAATACCCATCAATGACAGACTGGATAAAGAAAACGTGGTACATGTACATCATGGAATACTATGCAGCCATAAAAAGGAATGAGATCATGTCCTTTGCAAGGACATGGGTGGAGCTGGAAGCCATTATCCTCAGCAAACTAATGCAGGAGCATAAAACCAAACACAACATGTTCTCACTTATAAGTGGGAGCTGAATGATGAGAATACATGGACACGTCATGGAAAACACACACATACTGGGGCCTGTAAATGTTGGGGGAGAGCATCAGGAAGAATAGGCAATGCATACCAGGCTTGATACTTAGGTGATGGATTGATCTGTGTAGCAAATCACCATGGCACAAGTTTACCTATGTAAGAAACCTGCACATCCTGAACATTTACCCCACAACTTAAAATAAAAGCTGATGAAAAAAAAAACACCTTGGCTTTATCTTATCAACAACTTAATTTTCGTAGACTTTTTAGAAAATTCACATTTACAAATATTCAAAGAAGAAAAGACGGGAAATAAATATAACAGACTTTCAGAAATGATTATCACTTAAGCAATAGGCTATATGTGATTATTTTAATTTTTTATTTTTAGAGTAAAAATGTTTTACTATTTAAAAATAAGCTAATAGTCAAATGTACAATTCCAGTGAACTCCTTGCAGGTTTCCTGACACATTTCACATCATTAGAACACAAAAAATATTAAAATCATTTAGGAAGCAATTCACCATAGTGGAGCAAGCCACAAACTTTGGCATCACAATTCTGTCTTCCCTCTACAATCATCTAATCATGTATTATTATGCTCTAAAGCCACTTGTCTGAACTCTAGACCAGCACATCCAATTGCCAACCTGATATCACCAAACAAGACTAAAACGTGTCTTAAATGTAGCATGTCTATGGCTGAGCTCCTTGCTCACCTCCTATATCACTCCTCCTCCGAGCTTCATGTTCTCAGTTACTATTGGCAACCCCCTCTCCTCAGCTGCTCTGGCCAAGAACTTGAGGTCATTCCTGGGTACCCTTTCTCTTATGCTTCCAATCCATCAACACATTTTTATTGATCCCACCTCCAAAATTTAAGAATCCCACTAGTTCTGCCACCACCCTTGTCTGAGACACCATCGTGTTTTACCTGAAATACTGCCATAGTCTCCTAACTGGTCTTCTGACTTACGTCTTTGATCCTTTCTTTCTATTCTCAACACAGCAATGAGAGTGACAGTTCTGCCCCTTGTTAGCTCCAAAATTCTAATGACTTCATATTTTGCTCAGAGAAAAAGCCCAGGTTCTTACAATGACATACCAGGCTCTATGTAGTCTGCCCTCTCCCCTTCCTATCACTCAGATCTGATCTTGGACCCACTTAGGCTTGCACACTGTACTCCAGGATCCTTGAGTTTTTTGCCATTCCTTGAAAGCCCTGATCAGGGCATTTGTACTTGCTGTCTTCTCAGCCAGAAATGCGTTTACCCCAGATATCCATACGCTCCCTCTCTCATCTCCTGGAACCCTTATTCATATCCAAAGTGTATTCAGATTAGGTTATTCTGCCTCCCTTTATAAAACACAGTAAGTTGTATTCTCTATTTGTTAAAATCCCATTTATTTGTTTAGTTCATACCATCTTCTCAGTGATTTTCCTTTCCAGGCTGAATCCAGCTTCTGCCTTTCCAGTAAAAATGAACGAGCACTTGTTTTTCAGTCTCTATCATAGCACTTGTTGTAGGCTGCATCATCACAATTAATACTGTTTGTTCATTTCTCCTTCAGGATGCAAGCCCTTCTCAAGCTGAAAACTTGAGAAGTTTTCATACTTCTCAAGGTAGTCCCTGCAACACAAACCACAGTACCCTTATTACATATGATGAGCAGAGCCCTGATTATCTCAACAATCTCCACATTATTATATGACAATCTGACATCATTGCAGAAATGTTTACAAAGTATTTATGATTCCCAGGCATTACTCCAGACACTGGGGATCGAGTGGAGGAACTGAACTAACGAGTTTCTTTCCAATCGACTGATACTGTTTATGTTTAAATCAAACCTCGAAAATTAAATTTCACAGGTGTTCTTAGGAGAACATCTCCTGACTCTACCCAGGTAGTCGGATATTCTACCTAGGTTTCAGCTTGTCCTAGATTCCTCCTATTATGAAAGAAATTCTATTTCTCTTTTCCAGGGAGAAGTTATTGTTGAGAATTCTTTACTCAAAACACATATCTCTGTCCCATGCCTCAAGGAGTGTGTGACATTAAAATGCTTAAAACATGGTAGAAGCAATTGAATTAAATGTGTCATAGAATATACATGCACAGCAAGAGGATATAATGAAGAGGTCAGATAATTTACTTGAAGAGTTAGTCTGCAAAAAAGGAGAAAGGAGAATGGCCTAAAATAGAGAAGAAAGATGTAGAACTCTGCCCTCTCTGCCTTTATCCAGAACTCCCCACCCCCGCCCCACACCAGCTCCCTTCCTTCTCCTGGATGCTTTCCGCCCCTCCAAACCTCTCTACTCCTCTCACACCTTGCCCTTGGATGACTCATCCTTTGACTGAGTGGATATGTGTACAGGAAAAATTGGTCAAAAAGAGAAGCAAAGTGACACAAGGAACTGTGAATGAGGGAGCAGGTCTAGTCAACTGCTCAGGCTCTGCAGCATTTTCCAAATTAGGCAAGAAATGAATTATACGTTCCTTTTCCGTATTCTGAAAGCAGTGCCAGTCACAGGGACACTTAAAATTTTGAACTTCAGGGCCAGGCGCGGGGGCTCAAGCCTGTAGTCCCAGCACTTTGGGAGGCCTAGGCAGGTGGGTAACAAGGTCAAGAGATCGAGACCATCCTGGTCAACATGGTGAAACCCCGTCTCTACTAAAAAAAAATACAAAAAAATTAGCTGGGCATGGTGGTGCGTGCCTGTAATCCCAGCCACTCAGGAGGCTGAGGCAGGAGAATTGCCTGAACCCAGGAGGCGGAGGTTGCGGTGAGCCGAGATCACGCCATTGCACTCCAGCCTGGGTAACAAAAGCGAAACTCCATCTCAAAAAAAAAAAAAAAAAAAAAATCGAACTTCAGACCCAGAATCATTGTGTAAGTAGCTATAATGTTGGTTGTCACCTTGCAAGCTATGCTCTTTTAGAAATATGTTCAAACTGTTTTTAGTCCCTCAATAAGCAAACTATGCGCCTGCTCTGAACCAGGACCCAGGAAAATGGTTACAAAAAACTCCAACAAATTATCTTTGTCCTTAAGGAAATGAGAAAAAAAACTGGCATGTCTTGGGCTAATTTCACACCATTTTCTAATTTAATACTGAATATAAATTATGAGGAAACATTACTGCATCTTTTACAACAGGTAAGGACACTGAGGAGATGAGAGGAACATTAATGACCCCGTGTGCGCACCTTTTAAATACCATGGCAGGACTTGTCTGCCTGACTGCAATGTTCATCATCTTCTCATTGCCCAGAGTGGTTGGGGACATAGACAACTGAGGGAGGAAATGCTTGAAAGACAGCATGCCTAGATGACGGGTTGACAGGTGCAGCAAGCCACCGTGGCACGTGTATACCCATGTAACAAACCTGCATGTTCTGCACATGTACCCCAGAACTTAAAGTAAAACTAAAAAATAAAAATAAAAATAAAAAAAGAAAGACAGCATGGAAGACAGAAATATGCTCATACAAGGCATGTGCTTAGGAAGTATAAAAATTCTCAAGGGCTATGAAATTCCAGACCTATATCATTCTGATACAGTCAGTGGTTTATTCTGAAGAGTGATCTCAAAATAAGTTGTTTGATCTACTGACCCTCTCTGGGATAATGATTCATTCTCCCTAAAATTATAATATAGGCATCGTGTCAAAATTAAAGCCCAACAGTGGAGCTGATTGGGCCAAGGGTCAGAGAAGACCTTGTGTAGGTTTGACGCAGACAAAACCCCTTTGAAGCTGCCGAAGGCAAAACTCTCAGCAGTAGAAATGCTTCATTTTGGATGTTGGTGAGAGGAACTTAGCAGATCCTCTCTTGGGAAGTAAAAAAGATTAAGTATACACAGAAAATGAGTTAGAGTTCAGGCTGGTGCCTTCATTATTTCATTCTCCCTCTCTGTGCATCACCTTCCTGGCATCCCTGGGACTCGGAATAATCAGGTTTCTGTTGCTGTGTACCCTCGTGCAATTTCACTTCCCCGCATTAGCCTTGTAGTAAACCCAGATTACTCGAGACTTCTGCAAGTTTTTCTTTAACACCCGAGAGACCCTCCCTGAAGGAACCTTAAAGTCAGAGGAGCAAGGAGAAGTAAAGTAGGCCCCAGGAGGCTAAACAGCATGTGCCTCTGTGCATTACTTGGTCAGCAGGGCCTGCTCAGGGTCTTGCTGAGCTAAATGTACCTTTCCATCTATTCATTCATTTGACCGACCTAAATTCAGTGTGTACACTGGGGCAGCTGTTGTGCTGAAAATATAAAGATGAATACGACAGAGTCTCTTTCTGTTAAGATTTACATTTGCAAGAAAGTCCAGAGATGATGGCTGTGCCTTCTCTGGGAGGGAAGGAGGGGAGCAGGGGGGCCTTGGCAGCTGCTGAGCATGGAGCAGTCTCCCACTTTCCCCTTTACCACATCACACTTACTAACTTCTCAAGCCCCTGCTTTTTAGTGGTGTCGGGGCAGTAAGTCCCAAGTCCAAAACTAAAAAATGGTCTCAACTGGCACCAGGATAAAACAGCCACCAAGCCCATCGCTAACTGATCCACGTGCCCTTCTCGCATCCCATCATTCACCACTTTGTTTTTGAATCCTGTATGCTAGAGCTACAGGAAATTCTTCACACTGCCCTGGTCTGTTTGTGCCTTTTCTATACCCTCATACTTCTCATGCCATTTCTTCCATGGGAGTGTTTTTCTCTCAATCACTGTTTTAGTTCATTCTTACTTGACTTTCTGGAATATACAATTAGTTCAATCATTCCCGCTTCTAAGAACTTTCGTGATGTACCTAGGAAGAATTAGGTGCCTATTACAAGTGGAATTGTATTCCCCACAAAAGAGATACTTTGGAGTTCTGATGAGTATCTCAGAATGCGACCTTCTTAGGAAACTGGGCAATAGCAGTTTAATGACTTAAACTATGGTGAAGTTATACTGAAGTTGGGTGGACCCTAATCCAATATGACTCTTGTCCTTAAAAGAAGGCCACTACCTGAAGGCAAAACACACACAAAGAACTCCACAGGAAGACAGAGATTTGGTGTATTGTATCTACAGGCTTAGGAATGCCAAAGATCGCCGAACACCACCAGAATCTAGGAGCAGACAAGAGAGAATTCCCCTACAAGCTTCAGGGAATGCAGCCAGCTGATACGTTGATTTCAGGCTGCTAGCCTACAGTAAACACCACTCACTTTCCAGCACTGATTGGAAACAAACACAATGCCCCTCCTCTGAGCTCTCATTGCCTCTTCTTTCTAATTATCTATGTATCACTCTCTCTCTCTAGACTGAGTTCCTCAAGGGGAAAGACTCTCCTATTCATCTACCCTGGATCATCTCAGCAACACTGCTTGGTGTGGTGCTGAAAACTTGGCATTGAATGAACAAATGAATGAATAAAGAGGCAGACAAGACTGCTGAATATATGGGAGAACATCAGAGATCTGGTCAGAGGTTTTCTTTTGTTTCTAGAAATTCTACTACCAAATTTTTTTCTTTCAATGCTTTGGAAATATCAGATTCTTTCTTAAATGCACTTCCTAAAAAAGCAGTCACACAAGAATGGGATGATTATTTGTGGGAGGGATTATTGTAGGCAAATTTGAGAAGGAAAGTTAATGGCAAAACAAAGAGCCCCAACTTGGGTGACCCAGACCTTTCAGAGGCAGCTCTGCTCTCCCTCAGTTAGGAGGACATGAATTTGGGATCCAGAAAACTCCAGAAGTAAAACATCTCTCAGCTGCTCAAGGCCATCTCTGGCTACTCCTTTCCTCTTATCCTTTATGAGTGCAGGTCATGAAATTGCTATGGCTTTCTTGCCCCTGTATCTTTTCTCTCCCTGCCCAGAATTCCTATCCTTACTTTACTGGCCTTCTGAACAATTTTTCAAAACCTCACCAAGAATCACCTCTTCAGTTATCCCTTTTCTGATTCTTACTGCAAGCCTCTTGTGCCTCCACTGCACCTTGCACAGATTACTTGATTTCTGCACTTCTGCACACATTTAAACCCATCATGAGGCCTGGATCTTTCTGATGGCAAGAATTATGCCTTTACATGTTTCCATACCTATCTCAGTATGAGGCATATGGTAAGTGGGCAATAAATGTTTGTGGAATCAAGAAATGAAGTAAACTTTGTCTCTAGGAAAATTGTTTTATATCAAACTAAAATCTGGCCTTGGAAAGCCTCTGTACTTCCATACTTAAGTCCTTATGGATGAACCATAACCTAACTTAGTAGGTAGACAGACTGGAAATCGAACTGAAGAGTATGCTTCTGTAACAACAGCTGAGTCTCAGCCAGTCCCAGCAGCCATATTCCAACCATTCACAGGCAGCTGTTTTAAACCATGTTCAAATAAGGCAAAATGCCAGGCAGTAACCAGCCTAGCTATTTCTGTGCCTCACTTCCATTTTCTGTATGTCACTTTCCTTTTTCAGTCCATAAACTCTCTCTGACCCCCAGGCATTCTGAATCTGCTGTGATGCTCTGGGCTGCCCAATTCATGAATCTTTTTTCTTACTTCTTGTTCAGTTAAACTCTAGTGGCCAGCATGATACCACACACCTGTAATCCCAGCATTTTGAGAGGTCAAGGCAGGAGTATTGCTTGAGCCCAGGATTTTGAGACCAGCCTGGGCAAGATAGCAAGACCCCGTCTCAAAAAAAATTAATTAAAAAAATCTATTAAACTCTGTTAAATTTAACTTGTCTAAAATATTTATTTTAACAATTGAAACTTTTATGTTGTTCCAGCCATAAATAAGGAAAGATAAAAGCTGAGGAGTCGGCCTTGAAATAGTGTTCTGTAAAGGAAGCAGCACTCTCTCACGTGAGACTGGAAGTAAAAAGAATTCAGCAGCAATCATTTCAGGACAGGTGGCAGTGAGTATTTGGAGGAAAGATTTTGGAGCTGGGAACGAAGGAGGGACTCACAAAGGTGGCAGAAGAGTCTCGTTCATGGGAAAGAGTTCCATGTCATTTTCTCTTCCTTGGCCTGATGATGATGGTCAGACCCAGCTGAGCTGACCTGCAGGAAAATGGATGGGGCTTAGAAGGGTCATTTGAGGAAAATTCTCTTCTCTCATTCTGGTGTAATCTAATTCAAGGGCCCAGCTTGGTTGGGGAGGACAAAACCACCCAGGCAAGAAAAGTCAAATATCCTCCGCAAATATTGGCAGTGCTCATTTACTTTTTATTGGCCCTGTACCCCAAAGGTGGGGGAAGACAATTCCATCCAAGAAAATATAATTAGTCGGCCTGCTGGTTTGGGCTCTAATTTAATCTGGGCAGCTGTGCCAGGAGCTTATATTAGCATGACACTGGGAGGCGGAGAATACAATTACTGAGCAATAGAGAAGGGGAGGAGAAGTGGGATACTGACCAGTGTGTGTCTGTGATAGAGGACGGAGTGCGGGGGAGGGTGATGTCAATGGGGGGGCGAGGATTCCCTTGGGAGTAAGGAAGAGGAAAGGGACTTCTGGCAGTGGATGGATGGTGACTTTAATTTGGCTTTTGAGAAATTATGTGTGCAGTGTGTGTGTGTGTGTCTGAGTGTGTGTGTGTTGTGTGAGTGTGTGTTGGGGTGTGTGGGTGTTGGGGGAGGGGACTTCCTCCAGGCTGGTCCACTCTGCATGACAAAGGTGAGTTTGAGACTTGATGGATGGGCCTTGTGTGTTACCCTAGAGAGAATAGAGGGGTTATGCTGGAGCAGGTTACGGCTGAATTGGGGACAAACACTCTTAGATACTTTTTCAGTGGATCAATCTAAATGGGGGAAGCAGAATGAGGACACGAAATGTATACATCTATTATCTCCTTTTTGTTACAGGCAGAGGATGGGATTAAAATAGTACTACTTAAAAGAGTACTCCATAGGCGATTTCATTCCTACAGAAAAGCTACCAGCTACAAAATTGCTGCCAAGGTACTTACTTTTTCAGCTGGGCTCTAGGTGAAGCAGCTTACACTTACTGTCTTAAGTAGTCTTTGCCAAGATCAACAAAGGTGTTATAATCTTCATGTAACAATCGAGGAAACTGAGGCTCAGAGACGTTAAGTAAAACGCCCACAGTCACATAGCTAGTAAGTTTTGAAGGCATGATGCAAATCCAGGCTTGTCTGACTCTAAACAATATGCTAATAATCCACAACTCCAAATAGCTATTATCCTCTCTGTTTATATGTGGGGAAACTGAGGCTCAGAGTGGCAAAGTAATTTGCATTCGCTGAAAATGTGAGTTAGTATCAGAACTAAAAATAGAATTTGGATCTCATGCAATAATGCCTCTTTACCACAGGACATATGGGGGAAAGAAGAAGGTATTGTTTGCCAGGGAAAGAGCCGACTATGCAGAAAGAAACAAATGGAAACCAGGTTTCCTCACCCTCAACCCAAGGCTTTTTCACTGTGAGTGACGTGTGGCAACAGCTAAAATCTCTGCTCCCTTCCTATGGACTAGGTGATACACTAAGCTTTGCATACTCCTTCATTTCACTTGCACGTCACTTTGAGGTTGCCACTATGATTGTCTCATGTTACATGAGAAGGGGAAGGCTTCCAGCTGTGCAACTTGTCCAAACTCAAATAGCAGGTTAATAACAGAGCAGGGAGTCAAACCCAGGCAGCCTGTTCTCTAGTCACTGCCTCCCTGTGGAACACATGGCTCCTCCAGGCATCAACACATCCCTCCCATTGTCAGAAATCTTTCTTTATGTCAAACCTAAATCAGTCCTACTCAGATGTCTGTCTGTTATTGCAGAGTAGACATGTAGTGATATGTTGGGGATCTTTTTCTTTACCCTCAGAGTTAATTTTCCCTGTAGCTTTTAACCTTTCCCCTCCACTCCAAGGAATCACAAAATCATTCTTGGCCCTGCCCTAACTGCCTATTGTCTCATACGAAGAAGCAGAGGATAAGCCAGTTTCTCCTTTTCCTTCATACCTTGAGATGCTGTTGCTCTTTCAGCTCTGTTTTTCCCAGACAAAAACCTCCCGCTGGGGCCTTGAGAACCACTGGGAGTCAGAGGAAAGAGAAGCCAGCTTTCCTCTTCCCAAAGGAGGAGAATATGGAAGCTGTGTTCTCAGGCCTCTGGAAACCCAAGTTAGCTAGAGGAGAACCCCCCATACCAGCCTGCCAAGTTCTGCTTGCTCAGCTGTTCAGCATCTGCCCTGCACCCAGAAGACGGTCTTCCCTAGGGTGCCTGCCAATCTCCTGGGCTCTGGCAAGAGGAACCAGGGGCACAGATGTGTCCTGCATCCTGAAGCCTGCAGGCATCACTGGGCAGCCCCACAGCTCACGTCTAGGAAGCCATGTTGAGGCATCTTGATTAGACAGATTTCCTCCTGCAGATGTCCTCCACCCCTATAGATTTCTCTCCTTATATCTTCCTCCTCACTCCTCTAAATCCTATGTGTCCAAAAGGAGCACATGGTAAAATTAGAAAGATCTCTTGACTAAAAGTCAAAAGGCTTGGTTTTCCCACTAGCTTTGTGGGCATGGATCTTCATTATCAGATAAGACAAATGGCATCTGCTCTCTATTTCTCACAACTTGTCATGAGAATGTGAGGAAAATGTATATTTAAAAAGCTGGTGTATCAGTTACAAGCCAATGACAGAGTTTGCTCTTAGTATTGTCATTGCAATCGATGGATTATAAAGTAGCAGATATAATGCATATCGGTTTCAGAATCAGAGACATCAAGCTTTGAATTGTGGCCCTCTAGAGACTCCTGAACCTCTTCAGGAGTCAGTTTCTTCATCCGTATGATTGGAATACTAATTGTCGTGAGATTTAAATAAGAGTACAGTAAAACAACCAGAAGAGAGATGGGTGAGTTGGAAGAGCTTAATATATGTTTGTTTTCTCCCAGATTCTAATGTTCCCCAAATCTAATCCAGAGCTGTTAGGTCTCTGCACTTGAGATTGTGCTGGTTGTGCCTTGCACAAGGGAATCTGCCCAAAGGAACAAATCCATCCAAACTGTGTGATCTGAGCCTGGGCTGCACTGGCCTGATAGGAGGTCATCTTATTCCCCCCTCTCCGATCTACCAAGATTCTTATGTGCTGGACTCAAGGTTAAAAGATCTCCTGGACCAGGTCAGAACTCGAATACCAGAGTCCCAGACAAAAGGAGGACTAGGCCAGGCGCAGTGGCTCATGCCTGCAATCCCAGCACTTTGGGAGGCCGAGGCAGGCAGATCACTTGAGGCCAAGAGTTTGAGACCAGCTTAGCCAATATGATAAAACCCTGTCTCTACTAAAAATACAAAAATTAGCTGGGTGTGGTGGTGGGCGCCTGTAATCTCAGCTACATGGGAGTCTGAGGCAGGAGACTCACTTGAATCCAGGAGGCAGAGGTTGCAGTGAGTTGAGATAGTGCCACTGCACTCCAGCCTGGGAGACAGAGCAAGACTCCATCTCAAAAAATAAAAAATAAAAATAAAAATAAAGAAAGGCCTACAATGAACTGGAGTTGAAGACAGTAAAATCTCTCTCTCTCTCTCTCACACACACACAGCTACTAGAGTGATATTTCTAAACAGGGTTCTGATTTTATCCTATCCAACTCAATATATTTTTGGTGACTCTCAACAGTTTCAAAGATAAAATACCCAAACTAGTAGGTGAGAGTTGAAAGTTTAATAAGGAATAGGATACTGACATAGTTTAAAAATATCTAAAAGTACTTTTTAATTTAAAAAGAAAAATTACAAATTTACAGTGGAAAAAAATAATACCACCTTATATTACCAATAATAGGAAAACTGATACCAGTGCTTCCTGATGTGAAGCACTGGGAGCCACCATCCCATGCAGTAATCCTGACAAAATTGTCTCACACAGATTTAATCACATGAACTGCAGACAAAGCAAATTGAGAGATGCTCTGCAGACTACAAGGACTATACTCTTCCAAAATATCAACATCCTGTACACATGGACACACGCAGGATGCAACAGAAACCGGGGCCGACTTGAGGGTGATGAGTAGGAGGAGGGTGAGGATCGAAAAACTACCCATTGGGTACTATGCTCATGCCTGGGTGACAAAATAATATGCACACCAAACCCCGCAACACCCAATTTACCCATGTAACAAACCGGCACATGTACCCACTGAACCTAAAACAAAAGTTGGAAAAAAAAAGTCAATGCCCATGAAACATAAAGGAAAGTAGAGAGAGAATCTCAGATTAAAGGAGACAAATGAGACATGAAAACTATATGCAGTGTGTGGTCCTACATATTATTTGGAAAAGAATCAAATTTGAATAAAGTCTGTAAACTAGGTGATTGTTAAATTTTTAAATTTTGATAATTGTACTATAGTTATGAAAATCATTGCCTTTATTTTTTATTTTATTTTTTTAATTTTTTTTTTAGTTTCTTTTTTTTTAATTTTTTTAATTTTTTATTTTTTATTGCATTTTAGGTTTTGGGGTACATGTGCAGAACATGCAAGACAGTTGCATAGGTACACACATGGCAGTGTGTTTTGCTTCCTTTCTCCCCTTCACCCACATTTGGCATTTCTCCCCAGGCTATCCCTCCCCAGCTCCCCCACCCTGCTGGCGCTCCCCTTTTCCCCCAATAGACCCCAGTGTTTAGTACTCCCCTCTCTGTGTCCATGTGTTCTCATTTTTCATCACCCGCCCATGTTCTTGTGTCAGTTTGCTGAGAATGATGTTCTCCAGATTCATCCATGTCCCTACAAACGACACGAACTCATCATTTCTGATTGCTGCATAATATTCCATGGTGTATATGTGCCACATTTTCCCAATCCACTCTATCATCGATGGGCATTTGGGTTGATTCCAGGTCTTTACTATTGTAAACAGTGCTGCAATGAACATTCGTGTGCATGTGTCCTTATAGTAGACCGATTTATAGTCCTTTGGATATATACCCAGTAATGGGATTGCTGGGTCAAATGGAATTTCTATTTCTAAAGCCTTGAGGAATTGCCACGCTGTCTTCCACAATGGTTGAAGTAATTTACACTCCCACCAACTGTGTAAAA